ACCCTGTATAGTTGACAAAAATAAAGAGGAAATGCTGCTAGTAAGAGATAAATAGAAAAGGAGTGCTGACAAGGGACGTAGAGAAAGTCGCAAGACCGGTGGTTCGTTACTTGGAACTTTATTTCAAAATTAGTTTTGATAGCTGCAAACGATTCTATGAGACTTCATATCACATGCGACCGTGTGCGCTCTAGCTGAATAAAATTGACACATTGCTACTCTTAATGCAGACATGGAACATGTCCTGCTGCAATCTTAAGGTTCGCTGCTTGGTAGGATTCGCGGGTTTTATATAAACAATTCAAACATGCACGTATAGGTTACTAACTAGCTTACCCGGCTCCGCTCGGCCCTATTAAAAAACTATGATAAAAGTCCCATCTTTTCCCTGTGCCCACTTCCAGATGCTAATTGCAATTTCCGCTGTGAAAGTCATCAATATGCTCACTTACCCCCTTTAAGAATTCCCAGCCCCATAGCTCGAACTTTGCAAAAAAATCGATAAAAGTATTGGATGTCTTCAAAAACCAATTGTGCGTTCCTATCAGCATGCTCGATTACCCCACCCTCAACCCCACCCTTTGTGCCAACTCTCGGCCCTATAGCTCAAACCTTGCAAAAATCGATAAAATTGATAAAAATAATCGATAATTTCAGAAACTAATATTGTATTCGTAAATCAGCATACTCGCCTACTCTCCTGTGCCAACTCCTAGCCCCGTAGCTCGAAATTGCAAAAAATCGATAACAGTGGATAAAATCGGTACCGATCAATAACGAAATGTAGCCTATGATACGCTACCCGCCTCAAAGTACCATTTCATTCAACTGGCTTGGCTTCGAGAAGGCGGGGCTCCGTGATCTAATTAAGGCTAGCTAGTAATCAGAGAGCACTCCCACGAGAGAGACGCGGGTGCGCCGCGGGAGCGAGCGGCCTTAATTACGTCACAAAACCCCGCCCCAAAGCCAAGCCAGTTGAATAAAGGCTACACGTGTACCAAGTTTGGTCCAAATCGGTTCAGAAAAAAAATTTCTATTCCGCACATACGTATACACATACGTACAAACAGATATTCAGCTTTATGTAACGCCATGTGTGTATTGTACAGACTACAAACGTATGAAGCGATCTTTTCGGGCCTCCGATTATGCGCTATTATCGCTGTTACCGCTGCTACTACTGTTCAAAGAATTGAATATTGAGACCTACGCATAGAAAAGAAGCTGTACTATTGATCATACCACCATTCAACGGCAGGACAGCGGTTCCAACCGTAAAGCGGCAGTTCATTAGGGGCATCAACAGTCACATAAGCGGTAAAAACGACAAAAGGATGATGTTTGTTTCTAGTCAAGCTTCTCAATGACAAAGGTCATGGCTGCTCGAGGAGTCAGCGTTTTATGCTGCATCTAGTGGTATGCAGCTTGTTTGATTTGCTGACGGTTATGCGCTATTACCGTTGTTACCGCTGCTACTACTGTTCAAAGAATTGAATATTGAGACCTACGCATAGAAAAGAAGCTGTACTATTGATCATACCACCATTCAACGGCAGGACAGCGGTTCCAACCGTAAAGCGGCAGTTCATTAGGGGCATCAACAGTCACAAAAGCGGTAAAAACGACAAAAGGATGATGTTTGTTTCTAGTCAAGCTTCTCAATGACAAAGGTCATGGCTGCTCGAGGAGTCAGCAAATCAAACAAGCTGCATACCACTAGATGCAGCATAAAACACTGACTCCAAATTTGTCTTCTTTATGTGCAGAGCGCTTTTGTAAACCAAAATTATAAGCCGTTGAAGGCCATTATTTTACTAAGAAACTGTGCGTGTAAAGTGCAAAATTGGCCGTACAAAGCCATTCTCAGCACAGTGTTGGACCCAAATATGCAACTAGGTCACTTCATATGACCCATAACTAGAGGTGAGCTGAAAGAGCAATAATGTGCCTAATTTTACAATTTTTGTATACGATTTTTTCGCAGTAAAGCTGCTCTTAATTTCGCCTACAAAGGCGCTCTGCAGGTATGAAAAACGGATTTTAAATTAGCATTCTACGCTGCATCGAACGGTATGCAGCTTTTATGGATTGGCCACTTCGACTTCTACCATTCCCTTGTTACCACCAAGTATCTTATAATCTGGCCAAAAATATTTCCGAATATGTTTACGGTACCAAGTTCATTGGACGAATAACATCGTTTTGCAGGTTGGATGGGCTCAAAAAGCGCATTCATGACAATCGTCACTATATTATTAGGTTGGACGAAAGTTCTGTTGTTTCATTTTCAAAAATTTGTAACTTCGCGAAATTTCAACGGATTGCTTGTAATTTTAGTAGAAAGAACAAGTCTTTCGCTTTCTGCTGTTCCGTGGAGCTTCTGTTTCACATTGGGTGCGGGGATAAAAATGAAAAACTAAGACCATATAAGATTTGACCATTTTAGGTCAGGTCACCAAAAATCTGGAACGCTGCAAAAAATTTGGAATCCTCAGTACATATGTTTTTTAGCCTACTTTTCGCAACTTTGAAGAGTTAGTGCTGTTTGGACGTCTCTGTGAAAAGTTATGATTTTCGCGAAATTTGACAAATTAGTTGATTTTGGCGTTTTCCATAGTAAATCGATATTCATAACTTCTCACAGAGACGTCCAAACAGCACAAACTTTTCACAAACGCAAAGGGTAGGCCAAGGAACATATGTAATGACGATTTCAGATTTTTTTCCAGCGTTCCAAATTTTCGGTGACCTAACTTAAAATGGTCAAAGCTTATATGGTCTTGGTTTCCATTTTTAACTCCGCACGCAGTATGAAACAGAAGGTCCACTGAAAATATTTGGAAGCGAAAAACTTATTCTTTCGAATAAAATTACAGGCAAGCAAATCCGTTTCGCGGAGTTACAAATTTTTGAAAATGAAACGACAGAACTTTCGGTTCAACCTAATATAAATGACTTATACACTATACACTGTGGACAACTTTGATGATAGAATCCAGCTTTGTCTTTTTCCTTCAAAAACAGTTCACTAGTGCGTGCCATGTGCTAAATTTGCCTGTACACTGTCTTTGAAGCCGTGGGCTTAAAACAATATGAGAGCACCTTCCTATAACCTGGCTATGAAAAAGATTTCCCCTCTTTTTTGGCGATACCTTGGTTTTAGAAATTAGTTGCTTAAACGAAATGCAGGATTTCCTTTTAGAACAAACAAATGGTCTGACTAGGGAACAATGCCTACTTGAATGCAGTGGCTCGCCAAATCTCAACCTAGTCAAATTTTTGCTTACCGGGAGTTATTCAAAACGCTGATCCCGAATATTCACTTCTGCAAGCTTGAAAACGAGCGTTTTACAATGCCTTTTTCTTCCGAATTGAACGAGTGGAGCAAGGCTGATGGTGCTGGATCGTTGCGGGACCCAATGGTTATAGCATTGCGGCGGGCAGCCTCCAATGGTGAGGAGGAAATTGCCAACTCCTCCGGGAGCGTGTAAGATTGGCCTGCGCGTGTAAGTTTGAGAGCCATTTTCTCGGCAGCGAAGGCATGCTGTGCAACCAGGATTGCACCGTTTTCATACTTGGGCGATAAGAAACCTATCGCGTTAAAATCCTGAATTGTTGAGTCTTGCCGATCCACTGCCTTTAAGATGACAAATCGGAATGAACCGCATCATTGAATGCGGTCTGATAAGCTTGCTGCAAGTTTACCTTTCATATTCGCGATGCTGTTTCTTGAAAAAAGTTATGAACGTCAGAAAGTTTAAATTTTTTAAACCTTCAGCGTCACACCTTTAGGAATAGTAATTTGAAAACACCTAACTGTGTTTTCGGTAAACGTGAGCATTTCTTGAAATTGTACACTCAATATCAAGCTAGTCATGCTGTCTGAGTTAGCATATCATGCATTAAAACTCTAGTGACTCCACACTTTTAGCCGCTCACAACTTTTCCAAAGAGCCGCATCGCAGAAGGTTGGAAAATAGATTTGAGTCAGCTCATCAAAACGCATCTAATGATATACGATTTACTCCAGTTCGCACCTTAAGTTGGGATCGTTCCCTTGTAAGTTCAAGCCGCATTCACTACGTTTTTGCAATTTTGTGATTTATTAGGGTGATCACTAAAAAATGGGACACCTAGAGAATAAATGTATTTCTCAAAAAAGAAAAATGATTAAACTTCCCAATTTTGATGGATGTTAAAATAGATTATTTTCTCTCAGAAATTACCTATATAAGGTCATTTACATAACTAATTTTATAGTGGCTGAAATGCAAAGTTAGCCACTTTGACAAATTACAAACTTCGAGCAATATCTGCGTAGTGAAACATGCGGAACCATCCAAAGTACTACTGCTGCAATGCGTGAAGGTACAGTCACCAGACCCACGATGGGTTGCTGGTAAACTTTCAAATTTAGGAGATATGGCCATAAGCAGCTTTGAGAACAAAGATACGTGCAATTCAATGCTTTGCAGGTGAACGCATGTTCTATAGGTACCATCTGAAAGAGCTTTTTACGCTCTATCCATCCATATGCAGTTTACCTCACGTTTTATCTATCTTCGGAATACAGATTGAAACTTGATTTACTGGTTTTTTTTGTTGCGCCAAAAAATCGCGATTTTCCAGGTGTTTCGCTTTTTTTACCCAGGAATAGAAAGAAATTCTGTATGTTTCATATACTGTTTGAAAGAGCATGAACAGCTCTTTCGAATGATATATCAATTGCCCTATAACTTTGCGGTATGGCAGCGCAAGAATGAGCGAGGTTCAAAAAACCCGGTTCGAGTTCTTCTGGGCGACACGCGTAGGGTTGTGGGAGAGGAGCGTTGACTTTTCGCCAGAATAATAGGCGAAGGTCGCTTATATAAGCGACGTTTACGTTGCAGCCTGCTTGTTGTTGATCGAAACAAAAAAACTCAAAGTTTGACAAAAATTAAGCTGTCCCATTTTTTAGTGATCACCCTGATATTTTGGATTAAGGGTTAATGCTGACTCACTTTTGGGCAAGATTGGTTTCTTGAATTGCATCTCGTGTGCCTCATTACCAATCCATAAGTCGAAGTATTTCGGCTGCATCAAGACTAGAATAGTATTTATTAAAACAAAAAGTAATCAACTTCGCAATTGGCCGATTTCGCTAAGTCGCTACAATTCTCCAATAAACGTTGCTGCAAATTGAAACTCATAATCTGTTTTTGCTTCCAAAACATGTCAGAGTATGTTGACTTTGGAGTTTTTTAGTCGTACTGCTACAACTTATCTTCGAACCTCGAAAACGTTCTCATTTGTTGAGATGAAAGCAACATTGCTTTATAAACCGTCTCTTGAGACTTTGTGCCGTTTGAACAAAGAAGTGTGAATATATATAAATATTAGGTGGGTCCGGAAGTTTTGTCAGTTTTTTCAATCCATCGGCAAACACGCTAGAATGAAGATAAACAAACGCTTCAAAATGTATCCAATGCAGATCTTCCTCTTTTTAGCTTCTGAACTCCATTGTGTTTCGTTAAGAGAGTGACGAGATATTTGCTGGAAATTATAATCACTCGTTTTTACCTTGTCCAACTTTCGCTAATTTTCAAAATTTTTACATGAGACTTCTGGAGAAGCTCCAATAACCATCGGATAGGCAAACCGTTTGCCAACAAAAGCAATTTTTTGTAGCCCTACGGCTTGTCTTTCAGAATTTCTACGACTTATTTTTTGAAGTGACCAAATTTTACATTCAGCCTATTTTAACGTCGTAGAACATAAAATGTTAAACAGTTCAGTCACCATTCGATGCAAGTTTTTCTTCTCGTTCTAACACTTATCTGTTTGGCCGAGGCAGGGAAAATCTGTGGGGAAAATCGCGGTATTTCTCAATTTCAGGGGTGCGCACTGACAAACCCTAAATTCCAAAATCTTCATAATTTGTAGCGAAAATCGCTCATTTGCTTTGTAAAGGTAGCGGTAGTAATAATCGAGTGTTGAAACCTCAGTATTCTGAAAATTCTGCAGTGTTTGGTGCAATAACAGGTTATGCGATTTTTCCAAAACACAAGACTTTTAGAAAATTATTTAGCAAAAATCTAAAAAATCAGCTGAAAAAAAGAACAAGTTGCTTTTTGTGGCAAAAGCTTTGCCCTATCTGCTGTTTATTAGGGTTCCTTCAAAACTTTCATAAAAAATATTGAAAATTAGCAAAAGTTGGACATGGTAAAAAGGAGTGGTTGTAATTTCCAGCAATTACCTCGTCGTTTTCGCAACGAGCCACAATGGAGTTTAGCAATTAAAAAGGGGAAAAAATTCTGCATTGGATACGATTTGAAGCGTTTGTTTATCTTCATTCTAACGGGTTTGCCGATGGATTGAAGAAACTGACAGAACTCGGGCCCACCTAATATATATACCAGTGCGTACCCAGGATTTCGGCTTAAGGAGGGGGGGGGGGGAGGAGCGCGACAAAAAAATTTTTTCGATGAAGGTACGTTGCATCAGCCACGCGCTCCGAAAATTTTTTTGGTATGCTCTCTAAGGTTTTTGCGGGCTCAGAATCCCAACCTAACCAAAAGAATTTTTATAAGGTTAAAATGAATTTTTAAAACATTTTAAAAATTATTTTAATTATTTACAAGTACAGACAAGTCATTTGCACAATTTTATAACCCATGTAAGTAACTTTCAAAAATTTCGCGACCCGTTCCGAAGGGGGCCTACCCCCGCACTCCCCCCCCCTCGGTACGCCACTGATATATATTAGGTTGTCAAGAAAATAATGTCCGTTTTTATTTGCTTGCTTTAACAAAGCAACCAGATTCAACCCAACAAAGGGTAAGGGGTACTGTTCGATAGAGCAAAGCAAGCTCTACAAGATGGCACTCATATCTTTGCGCCACGCTCGATCCACGGAGAGTTCGAACTCAAAATCTAAAGATTTCCAAATGCCCAAAAAATCGAAAAAAATCAGATTTTCGTCCAAATAATTTCTACGGACCTCCCACTTGCTCACATCAATAATATCGATATCTGATATCCATATGTGCGATTGCCGTATTTTTTCCTTGACTAGAAACTGAGAAAACGAAAATTTCCCTGGTTTTCTCAAAGCAATGCTGAGCCATTTTTGCATATGTAGTTCTATACTACAAGACTAGGTAAGTATAACTGTAGATTTTCAGCCCATTCCAAACGGTAGTTTTCGAAAAATAACGAATTCGGATTTTTTCGTTTCAGTTTCGGTGCTAAAATCGACATTTCTCGAAAAGTACCGCTCGAAATAGGCTGAAAACCTACAGTTATGCTTACCTAGGCTTGTAGTATAGAACTACATATGCAAAAACGGCTCAGCATTGCTTCGAGAAAATCAGGAAAATTTTCGTTTTCTCAGTTTCTAGTCAAGGAAAAAATACGGCAATTGCACATATGGATATCAGGTATCGATAATATTGATGTGAGCGAGTGGGAGGTCCGTAGAAATTATTTGGACGAAGATCTGATTTTTTTCGATTTTTTGGGCATTTGGAAATCTTTAGATTTTGAGTTCGAACTCTCCATGGATCGAGCATGGCGCAAAGCCATGAGTGCCATCTTGTAGAGCTTGCTTTGCTCTATCGAACAGTACCCCTTACCCTTTGTTGGGTTGAGTCTGGTTGCTTTGTTAAAGCAAGCAAATAAAAACGGACATTATTTTCTTGACAACCTAATACATATATAAAACTCAAACACTGTAACTTTGTTTGCTAAGATGTTTGTGGCTTATAGACTCTTTCGTATGTGAACCGAAAAGGCTGAAATTCTTCCCCCTATAAAGAAGCCACGGCGCAAAAGATAGGCTACTTTTACGGCTACGACTCGCTGGGTCCTCCTATCGATTTATCGATTTGTTTACTTACATTAAAAAAAATGAAAATGTCTTCGATTACTATCAAATCATTTCCCCAAGTGAAGTAGAAGAGAGCGGTAAAGATCATTTACATGTTGCGGCGAAGACGATGCGGTCACGAAGAGAAGGGATCAAGAAGAAGACAGCAACTACGGGTACCACGAGCGAAGCAATGCCAACCAGAAGCGAAACAGAAAGGAAGTTGGAAAGGGAAAGGAAGATGGTAAGGGGTAACGAGAATTACATTGAAGAGGGAGGGACGAATCGTGAGTTCCAAGACGTTTTGATCACTATGATAGGCCTTTACCAGTGCCCGGGCTGGACCGGGGACGTCGGCTAGTTATAAACATACAAGCACTCTCTTATTCTGAAAGTTTGGGAACTTTCTGAAAAAACCCAAAACATCTTCAGTGCTGCGAGAAAGTGCTTAGTCGAGGAAGGTGTACTCAGCGCAAGGATTTTAATCGGTATGAGGCTTAAGAATAATGGCGCCGAAAACTGCTTTTTTAGCGGTTCGTACGTTGGGTGACCTAGAGGGACAAGGGAGGAGGAGCCCTCCACGAGATTGGCTTTTGTGTATTTCGAAAGCTAGTTGATAAGAATGTTTTGTCGCCTCTTTTGCTGAACGGAGTTCCCGCAGCCGCCACTGGTAATACGTAAGGACGCCTCAAGCTAAGCTCTCTTTCTCACTTGAAGCTGCAATATATCGCATCTTGGATGGGTTAAAATACTTCTACATTCAGTGTGCCCCAAACACATTCGTTTTACTAAAATCCTAATACCCTTACTAGCCTCTACTAAAACTTCAAAGGTACTTCAAGCCTTTTTATAGATATGTTGCTTGACACTTGGAAGAACCCAAAAGGTAAATGTCATCAAAATTGTTCGGCAAGACTGACTAGGGACTTTAGACAACCAATATACTTCTCGTATCTCGTCTTATTTGCTCCAATATACCGCAAGCTACGGTTGAGACTAAATATTCGTGTTCGCAATTTATGTGAAAGGTGCGAGTTTCTTTAATATTCGCATAGTAGACACTTTTACAGTCTGGAAATAGGGCCTCAAAAGTGAAGTTTGTTTGGATATCTGTGCCCCATAAAAAGTGGAAGTTATCTATAGAAAATCAGAAAAGAGAAAAGGATGCAAATGAACAGCAAAAGCAAAATAGGCTCTTGAAATCGGGTAAAAATGCTTCAAGGAGTTTAAAATCCTTCACTTGGCGGCTTTTCAAGCAAGATTTCGCTCTAGAACCAATCAATCTACAACATATAGGTAAAACAAGTGAAAGCTAATTTCTACCTTGAGACTGTTTCAAAAACAAGCATGTCAGGAGTTATGATGATAAGGAAGATAAACAAAAAGTTAGTTATAAAAACTCGAAGTTTTGTTTCTCTAAGACGAAACCAGCCCAGGCCAATCTAGTTTTTAATGCGTTATTTGTCTTTTTACCATCTTGTAATTTTTGTTCTTAGCGACGTTATCAGCTTTGTCTGCTATAATTCTGAGCAAGATGCCCTCAAACTTGAAGCAATTGGTTTTTTCATACTTCGATAAAGAGCTACAAACAAAAAAAAACCGCACTTTTTGAAGCTTCATATCAAACATTTCATCACAGTCAAAAAAGTAAGCCTTACGACCTTATCCACACTGTAGGGAGAAGTAAGATCTAATGAATGGACCGCTTGAAAAGAATCTAAAAAGAAAAAACAAGAGATTTTTAAAAGCGGTTGTTGATTCCCTTCACACCACAAATGGGGTTTTGCGAAGTGAGTGAAAGTATCATCAAAAGCAGCACTATGATATACAGTTTAGAACGGATTCAGAACAATGAAAAAGAGTACCAGAGTAAATGCTTTGTGCACGGCGTTTGAGATACGGTACCGCGCAATACACTTGGAGGCGCAGACTAGCAGAGGGGAAACACCAGAGCCGGTATGTATCAATCGCCCGTCCGGGTAAGTTACCCGGACATAGTTTCCGCTTCATGGCTCGGTGCTGTGGGGATCTGTGTCCTTGCTTGTCGCTCATATTTTGGAGGCTCTACTACCCTAGTATTGTAGCACAATGAATGGGAGCACTTTGCTGTATAAGCTGAGATAATTCGTTATTTGTATGATCCCGAACGGGATCTCCCACTGATCACGCTCATTTTCAAAGTTATTTATATTCGCAAAAACTCAGTGAAAACGTTACAGAGTTTTGCTATCGATTTAT